GTTTTACTTAGGATGAGTCAGCTGGATGTACTTGCACTTCAGTGAGTGATGTTGTCTCCATTGAGACTCGACTCTGGTACCCATTGCTTCAAATGCCAAGGCGTTATCCACTATGTCATAGAGGAACGATAGCTACTTCCAAACAAATTACCTTAATTAACATTCAAACAATGTCGCGGCATCCGCACAGGAGCCCATATACCAATAGACGTCGAACACTTCTATCCAGTAAAACAATGGAGAATTCCAAGTATGTCAATAAATAATAATGACTCCCTGTTTTCCTTGGAAAACCGTCACAACTTTGGTATAAGCTTTCAATCCTGTTAACTGGTCATCTCCCATGTAATATGCATTTTTGTACAAGGAGATTAGTATGGTGTCATTTAGATTTTATTGCGTGATAGCAAACCGATTTTCTAGAAGAAAAATCCGTCTTTTTCTATCAGTTATACAATCAGTAACCTATTTTGTCATAAGATCATACATTTTTTTGTGAAAAGGTAGCTTAGAAGACGGGTATATGAAGTTGAACAATGTTAATTGGTTGGAGGCAATCGACAGGAAGCCTTGCACCCAGTTTTCGTGCCTGTTGGCACTCGTCAGTAGGGCGTATCTGCAACATCGACAGACTGGTATCCAGCATGAGATTGATGTGGTGATATAAGGCGTGGCTGACAATCTGGACCGTAACACAGTAATACCCAGTCCTATTTTGATCTTAATGATGATGATGAGAAAATGGTCAACCTACAGCACACTACCCGAGTTCTCCCAGCTTTTGATCGACAGAATACAAGTGACGCCTTATAAATTGTTTATTTACTAAAAATTCTTTACATCATATACACAGACGGATGACACCAGAGTACTAGCTGAAATATATACAGAGGAAAGTGTTCATATCAGTTTATCGTAAAAAAAAAGAGCGCTGAATAGAAGGATTATAAGTCGGAGTTTAGAATTTGCCACCAGTCAAACTTACCACTATTGTAAAAGCAAACCTCACCATTGAATAAGCCATTATATTATATCTTCTAGTGTTCACCAACTTACATGTATGCATAAACAGGGAGCAGTAAGACAACCTACTCCATGCATAGTTAAAAATATTATTGAAAAATGTCATAATGGAAATGTCGAGGAAATGCGTACACATACACAGACTGAAGTCAACATCTTTGTATGTACAAAAGAAAATGAGTCAAATCATTTGTAAAACTGTTAGCTTTTCTAAAGTTTCGACAATTGACGTTTCTCAGACAAGACATAAACATAATCTACTGTAACTTCTAACATCTAACACTCCAGACCACCACATATGCATAATCTAATCTCCTAAGACAGTTTCATTCTGAACTAATAAATCGTATGATTAAGTCTGACTTCAGAACTGATTGATTTCGGTCTAAATTTCTTCAAGATAGCAGATATACTTCATATCTGAGTTTTAATAACCACGGGAATATGAAATTAGTAATAATACTGCAAAGCACATTTCTCCAGTTCCATCTGTTTATCGTTAGTATATTTGTTATTTCCCAATATGACAAGGTTGTCCAAAAAAAGGAAAAGAGAAGAAAGCAGAAGGATAAGCAGAAACCAAAGATGCTTCAGTGTTGAATAACACTGAGGAGGGAATAAATGCATCTATTGAATACTGAACAGATATAGTCACTGTTACCTCAACAAAACAACAGTTTAAAGCGTATTTCAAACATCTATTCATAATATGTGTTTACAGTAAAATTTCATCTAAACGTTTGAAGATTTTTTTCATGATGTGATCTTGGTGACTAGCAGGGTAATCTAGCTTGACGTACGTTTCGTCCTATATGGCAGTCATCAGCTGGATGTACCTGAAACCCAGTGCCGAGTGATATTATTCCTACTGAGGCTGGGACCCAGAGCGTTACTCACTAAGTCACTGGGGCACGATAGCCACCTCTTGTGCAATGGGTGTCAGTTGTTCTAATGGTACTTTTGATTTCTCGTTGCTATACAGGGCCGAATTCCTCGACCTGTGTATATCCAGCTTACAAGTCCTTAATAGCATGAAACGCGCATCAAGCTGGATTCCTCTTCTAGTCACTAAGATCAGCATGGTATCATGAATATCTGGCAGTATCAAGGCATTCACATAAGAGCCCACATCTGCCAACACAGGTCGAGCAATTCAGCCCTGTGTAGCAACAGAAACTAAGTGTCATCAATTGGCTGACTAGATCATTTCAAAGAAAGTGAAATTATATTTTAAAATTTTCGTTTTAGAATAGTTCTCTGCACTCAGCATGCGGAACAGGATACGGATTTTCAACACCAATCCAGTCAAGTCAGTGCTTCTGTATGGTTCAGAGACTTGGCGCGTCACGAAAGGGATTTCCAATAAACTACAGACATTCATCAATAACTGCTTACGCTCGCTACTAACGATCAGATGGCCAGAAAGAATAAGCAACAAGGAACTCTGGGAACGAACCAACCAAGAACCTATCACGCAACAAATATGCAGGAGGAAGTGGAGATGGATTGGGCATGCACTGAGAAGGCCGACTGAGGACATCACGCGTCAGGTCAGTTGCTCGAGTGGAATCCCCATGGGAAGCGACGAGTTAGACGTCCGAGGGTGACATGGAGGAGGTCGTGCGAGGAGGAAATGAGAGGTTGTGGGCTGTCGTGGAACCAGGTTCAAAAGATCTCAGAGAACAGAGGTCACTGGAGACGTGCTACTGAAGCCCTATGTTCCACTAGGAACCCAAGGGACTAAGATATATATATATATATATATATATATATAAAATAAGTACAGATTGACAACTTATTCTATCAGTTACTAGCATACATTCTACCTTTTGATCTTTTTTAACGACTTCCCTCGATCTCAATAAACTAATTGGAATCTTTCGGTTGTAATACGAAAGAAATAACTGAGGATAAACGGTAGACTGACAAGCTGTCCATCACTGCTTTAGGCACTCGCCCTCCAGCTGGTATGTCGTGACTTCGAAAGTACAGGTGGCTGTCTAATGGATTTTCATCTGTTTTAGTCGTTCAGCTTATGACTTAACTAGTGAAAGACTGAACTATATAAGCATTACAGATTAATGCTTGAGTAAGTATATTTCACAGCTACTTCCTCTACCATCTGTTGACCAATACGTGGACAAATTCCAGTTATACACACGACGAACTAGTTAAGGCTCTCTCTAGACATATAAGATTATTGTTACGAGGCCAAATCTTCTAAGAGATATCAGTTTCAACCTTAACATTGCAGGTACTCGATCGTAGAAGTGTTCAACCTCTTAGAAGATCCACCTACAATAACTCATCCAACAATCACCAATGACTTTATGAAATGACGCTTAAGTTTTCATAATCAGTTAGAGTCTTTCATATGAATCTATGTGCTATCGACGCTGACATCACCGTCAACAGTGTAGGTAGAAATGTTAGATTGTAAGAGGGAATCGATGTTTTAAGCATATTAGCATTGATCACCGAAGTATATCTGCAACCACGAGGGAACTGATGTCTTCTGAGAGATTTGAATCCATCATCACTCGGTGGATCGATTTCAGCCTAAACAACTCCATAGTAAAATTTCTGACTAGAGAACTGAGTGAGATGGGTTAAAATCTTCAACATCAGTTTCATTACTGTTACAGATAATGCCTACCATGTCTACAATCCAGTTGGTAAAGTCAGAATGTTGTCATCTCATTTCTTTGCTCATCATAGTTTCCTTTATATTTTCGCAGTTGAAACATATTTTCCAGTATCCTTAGAATTTAACTGGCATTATCTTCCATGTTTTTCTTCTTCAGTCACTGGGGATGCTATCATCAGATTGTATTTTGATTTAAAGCTGCAATAATTTATCCTACGACCTATAACTATCAACTTTCCAAACAGTTTGAAGTTTCTACTTGAATTATCTTGACTCCTTCCTCTGAAATTAATGAATAAATTTCTACCAGCTTTTTATTGATCCACTTATTTTGGAAGTAACAGAAATTCTGTTGTGATATATTCAAGAATGTACAATTTCATTAATCATAGTGCCACTGTTTATCATCGTTTTCCAATGGAACCTGCTTTCTATTCACTGAGACAGCTATGACGCTTAGAAGTTTACCTTATGAACGTATTCGAATGCCAAACTCTACCTTACTTCCAAGAATTCCCTTACACATTTTATTTCATAATTTACTTGGTTATGGCTGTCAGAGAGATACAAAATGCAGGACCAAACCCACGTTCATGATTCTTCTGCTAACCATAATCAACACTCAGGCAAAATCCAGGCGTCTGCATAGCAGTGCATATGTCAATGAGGGTCAAACAATTCGAGTCAATAAAAAAAAACGGAGAATTACAAGTACATAAATAAATAGTTATAACCACGCTTGTTCACCTTCTAAAAATGATTTATTCAAGAGAAAATTTCCTTCATACTGGTCGATGATTGAAGGTGGAATAAAAATTTGGACCGCGGCCGGATTCGAACCAGCGTCCACCGCGTCACGAATTCACACGGCAGTCAAGCAAAAACTCTTGATGACTGAAGTTACATAAAAAATCTGTTAAGCAGTCGGACCTCGTAGCTCAGTTGATAGAGCACCCGGCCGGTAACCCTGTAGTCGGTTCAAATTTTCATTTCACCTTCAATCATTACTCAGTATAAATACTAGTCTGTCAAACCACCGCCACCTCCAATAGTCAAATGATAAGGTTTTCCTCATCGACCACGGAACCTGGAGGTATTGGGTTTGATCCCTGTGTTGCGGAAGGGGGTCGTAGGCGCGCACTCCTGAAGAGTCCCATTCTAGGGCGAAACAGTTGTGTGTTCAATACTCCCAGATTTACAGTGTCAGTTCTCAAATATCTACCTACATAAACCTGAGATCAACAAATTGTATGCTAATTATATTTCGAGAAATATTTTTAATTCTTAAAAAGTAAACGTTTTTTTTCACGATATAAAATGAATAATCTACCTTCTCAAGTTGTGAAGCAAGTTTCTCATTCAAAACATGCATTTCTTTTCGACTTTGTTCACGTGCTTCACGACAACTTCTTGCCTCAGGTAAATCCATTGATAAGGTGCTTCTAGCCAATCTATCCAATGAACTGATACTTCCTGTTTTTGTAGAATTCCAAGGCTCCTTTGACATAACTACTTCTACACTGAGTTAATACAATTGGGTTAAACAATAATTTTTTTGTATTATGTTTATCTTTGAGTTGTTTATTTCTAATTCTTTTACACTTTTGAATTAGTTGTATATAAATAGTTGAAAATCTCTGATTGAATAAAATATCCACATGATTATTTTACAAATTTTTCTTTTAACCAAAATTTAATTCATTAAAACAAATGATATAAACTATTACTAATATACTCTCTTTACAAAAGTCTTTCAAGGTCACTACCACATGATATACTCACTGATTGGTGGATAATCAAAGTGTTGATTGATTTTTAGATTGTCAAGCTTTAATTTCATTGGATAAGTGAATTTATATAAAGAATAATTCAATCCAATCACCTGTTGACTTGAGTCATATATATATATATATATATATATATATATATATATATATAGGCCTCCATAATCATTATTACTACTTATATTATTCAATAAATAAGGATTTTTGTAGCATACTCCGGTGGTGCATAGGGAAACATAGATAGATGTAAACATATATATTTTTTTTCTAAAAAAATTAAGGAAAATGGGCGTAAATCATATAAAAATAAGCTGATAGTTTCAACAAAAGTTTTATTGAATTTCAGAATACAATGTGTTTAAATTAGATGAAAATGAGTCATGAAAATACAAGAGAATAGGCAAAATGAGTAAAACGCCTTTTATTGTAGTTTCAAGGTAACAATACTAAATTAGTATTAACAAGCAAGCATATGCAGGACTGAAAAGTGTATCATGATGAATAAGCTTGATGAGAAGAGTAGAAAGAAGGATAAAATGCTATCAGCTTTGTTATTAATAGCGTATTTACCATTCAGAAATGTTACCATTAGCATATACAAGTGGTAACTAATCCAGCCAGATAATCTAGTCAATCTCAAAGAAAGTCAGTCATCACTGGTAATTAGTAAAACCATCGAGTTATTATGAAACAGCTTTTACAAACAATTCTTTAATTCTGCTCATTAAATGACTATGGGATTACACTATGAACTAAGGTATCAGTAGATGAGACCATACTGACAGAACAGTTGTGCCTAACCTCTACAATTTCTAGGTTTCAGAATAAAATATACAAACAATACAGAAAGACTTATCTTGGGATCACCAGTATCCTTCTCTAAAAATATCCTTTTGATGTGTAGATCACATGTTTATAGTGTTGAAATCGGAAGACATAGACAGTTTCATTATATCCATATAAATTCAGTAGTCAACACAATCCAATTGACCCATGAATTAAAAAAAAAAACGTTTAGGGGGAATCAGAGATATTGGATTGCATAATTAAATGGAATAAAGACACCAGTGTCTACAGAAAACCTTTACACTCGAAACGTTACACAGACTTCAAATTGTCTCACCCTATATCACAGTTAAAGTGTCTTAGTAACAAGGCCAAACAAGTTATCGGTAAGACAGATGGTCTAAGACAAGAAACCAGATACATTAAGGATATCTCACTTATCTATAATTACCCTCCCTAATTAACTGATAAATTCCCTAGGAATATATGACTCATATTAGTAACACAGGTGTTAATACTAGCAATAATAATGTTGGCAATACTGTGAAAAGAGAATTCAAAACCTCTACAGTATTGCCATACAAAGAATGCACCTCAGAAACATTAAGTAGGATATTCAATAAGCGTGGCTGGGATTTGAGTGACACTTGAACCTTCAAACTCACTTGGAGATAAGCTTTTGTAGATTGAAAGATTCAACTGATCCAATTAAGCAGAATAAATTAGTTTACCAAGTCCATTCCAACAATTTTGAGTTCAAGCACCTGATAGATCATAGTAGTCGACTAGGGTTGGTCAATTAGGCTATTCGAGTACTAAAGCCTATCTAGATCGATAGTGATAAATCTTAGTAAGATAAGAAATTTCGAAAAATGCTCAAGCATAGCCATGCATGCGATTACATACAACCACATAATCGGATAGGACAGGGTGAAAATCCTTAAAATTGACCGACACAACACGGTGAAGGAGAAGATTGATAGACGGAACTTTTATTATCAAATAGACGGAGTAACGTGAATGACTGAGCATCTGTTCTGGATATAAGCGAAATTATACTACCCATATCACAAAGGTGACGAGAAAATTCGGATTATGAAGGTGTGTATTTGGTTACCTGATATGACTATAGACAATAAATGATGTCCGTAACGCAATCCATTAAACCATCCTAGAGACATTTGACACATGGATGATACATTTCTTACAGATATAAACTCAGTAGTTGATGTACTACAATTTACACATGAACCAGAAAGTGAATGAAGACGAACTAATTATGCTGGATCACGAAATTAAACAAAGGCAAGATGAAGGTTTGAACATCAATGTCTATACAGTAAGCCTTCGCACTGCAGTCAGCACTTACACTTCAGATCCTCATATCCGATATCATTTAAGGTATCCCTTACTTGAATGACTTGGTAACAGAGGATATAGACTGAAAAGTAATTTAGGTCAAGAAATGAAACAAATGAGCAAAGTATCACACCTCAGCAACTATCCTAGTAAATTTATCCACAAATACACATGTACGACAACAGGTGAAAACAGTAGTAATATTAAAAGTACAGAAAATAAATCTTTAACCTCCAATTTAAAGAAACGTTATTAAAAGCCCTGTGTATGATGTTTGATAAGGTCGAGATTAGAGTGGCATTTAAACCTAAAAATCTCATTTAAAGACAAATTTTCTAAGCTAAATGATCCTATCGAAGCTAAGAAGCGAAACCATTTGGTCTACCAGTTTCCTTTCAATGACTGTATAATCAAATACGTAGATCAAACTAGCCGGCTGAGGTCGATTACAATGGGAGAACATAGCAAATTAGCTAAACGTGGATTAGTAGGACCTAGGAAGATAAGAAATTGAACAAAGAACACAACTGTATATATGCGTGCTTGCATGACTTTCATATACAATTACGTAATAGGATGGGATAAAGTAACACTTTTAGAAAATAACTTGGGTAGGTGGAGAGAGTCCAGCAACTGAAGCTGTGTTCATTGAATAGACCCCTGAAAAATGCAATGGGAGTGACGTAATATTAGTCCTGGATATATGAAACATTTTAGTACAAAGCAAGTGACTAGTAAGTAACTTCTCGTAGACTGAGGATAGAGAGTGAAATGGTGGAATGCATCGATCACATCAGCTTGAAAGAACCGATTGTTGAAGAAATCTCACCTTGAATACACAAGGCCCGTTTGATAGCTGTTAGCTTGCGTCATCTCTGACGGCGGCGAAATATCTAACTGCTTATTAAAAGATGGGTATACTGCATTATAGTCTGTCACATGGCTGTAAGATATGGCCATTAAAGGCAAAAGATATGGAGCGGTTACAAATGTTCGGTTACAACTGTCTTTATAGAATTGCTCGCTTTCGGGGGATTTCCATATTAGGAATGTCAAGGTTAGGTGAAGAAAACCAAGTAAGGCAGCCAAGTCAGTGGATGGCCTGCCAAACTTCGACTGTCTGAGACGGTTTGGACATGTATTGAGCAAGGCTGAGCCGTCGTCTACCTTCATGTGCAGTGTTAGTAAAAGTTTGATTAGACTGAAAGAGTGTTCGGGATGGCCAGACAAAGACGTGGCATCCGTGCTTGAAGTTTTGACCCTTTGATCTGATCGACATAGTGAAATGTAGACTGCCTGACTAAGGTTCTCGAGAAATTGTGAATCAGTGGTTGAAGACACTTGGTGCAATGGCTGACAGTCGGTCGTAATGGTGCAGATGTATTCCCTCTTTGATTTCTGTCTGTCTGTCTGTCAGTAATAAGAGGAATATACTGCAGGTATCCTCTAACATATTACCCATATTCTATTCTTATACTGATGAGTGAAATTCTTACTTCGGATCACCTGAGGAAGTCATAGTGTATAGGAGACTTGAAATAAAATACTGTCCAGTCTCCAACTGGAACTCATTAGTTAGATGTGCCTATATTCGTAGTTTGGCTTTTTCCCACAAGTTGTTGAAGCCAGTAACTATCACTTCAAATGGTACAGTGTTTAGGTTATTCATCAAAAATCTTTATTTACATACAACAGTTTTGATGAATACATAAAATTACTGGGAAAAAAATAATAACTAGTTAATTCTAATTGATCATTTGTTGGATAAACTGTTGAATAAGATTTTTCTTGACCATATAGTGATATGAAAGAAAAATTTGAGTGTAAAAACTTCTACTTTACCAGCTGAGGACTTAAAATGCTGGTTTCCATTAAGGAAGCTTCTTATCATAACTACAGAAATTCAAAATAACTTGAAGGTTGAATGGTTTCGATTTATATTATCGCATTTCTGTTTAATTGTCAGAAAAATTTTCAGGTCTCTTAACTATTCAGATAACCTCGCCTGATTAACTAGTTCACTAGTTACTAGCTGGTCCTAAACCTGGGTAAAGAAGGAAGGTTAGGCATAGGGTTAGCAACCCTACTCCGGAAAACAAATCCAACCGCTAAAGAAACTTCGAAGCGTAAAGAAAATATGAAAGATATGAAGAAACTTATTCCTCGCTGAAATCGGAGAGATGAAATGACGCCGGTTGGTGTAAACCTTCGGGAAGCTAATTGACTGATGTGTCTTCTCTCGATGAAAGCGAAACTTCAATTACGAACCCAAGGGACAAATAATAATAACTACTCAGATATAAATATTCTGAAGGGAAAATCATCTAACAAAGTAAACTACTGACTAAGATGAAAAGTAAAAAACCACTCACTAATCAGATTCAATTAGCCATGTATTTTGCAGTTTAGTTGATTCATTCAAATCAGCTAAATGGAATTAGTGTTGATGTATTCAATTCATCTCCTTTGTAGCTGATGAGTTCTACTGATGAAATATACCCACCGATTCATGAATTTCATTATTATTTTATTATTTGTACCTTGGATTCCTAATGGAGCATACCGCTTCACTAGCACG